CTCGTTCTCTAGTTTTACTTTCTGCTGCTATCTTTGGTTTTAGCAGTGTTAATTTAGTCCTAGGTGGTTGGCGGAGTAATTCTTCACTTGGGCACTTTTTAGTAGTCGTTGTGGGTGTATTTCGGTAACTAAAAAGAAAATTTGACAGTCGATGCTCCAAACTTAGTTTAATCCCCAATTTTCGTTCCTCTAATACCAACTTCTTTAGCGCTGACTTAACAGTTCCCACTGCCCTCTCTGCACTTCCGTTTGATGTGGGATGATATGGTGGAGAATGAATCAGCTTGATACCATTAGAAGCACAAAATAATTCAACTTCTCTGCTTGAAAAGGGGGGCCCATTATCAGCCACCAATGACTCCGGTAGACCAAACGTAGCAAAAACCTGTCTCAGTTTTTGCAAAATTTTACTCGCATTTGTGCCATTTGTCATAGGAAAGATTTCCAGCCATCTTGATGATGAATCGATTAATATAAAAAAGTATATCTGATTAATCTGGTAAAAGTCCATATGCACTCTTTGCCAGTGTCTAGTAGCGGGCCTCCAGGGTGTTAATTCAACCTCTTGAGGTCTCCTGGCACTTAATTGACAAGCTTCACACCTACCCACCTTTTCCTCAATATCTGTGTCAATACCAGGCCACCAAACTGTACTCCTAGCCAGCATTTTCATTCTAACTATTCCAGGATGCTGATCATGTAGAACTTCTAGCACTTCTTCTCTCATAGATCTAGGAATTACAACTCGATTACCCCATGTTAAACAGCCCTCCTCTATACTTAATTCATATCTTTTTCTAAAGTATGGTAATAACAGTTCGTCCTTCATATGTGTAGGCCAACCAAACTTAGTTAGCTCCAAAACTTTAACTAAACTCATATCCTTACCAGTTTCCTTTGCAATGTCCTCTGCTGTAAGAGGTACTTCTGGATCTAACGTAAATGCATAAACCTCTTCCTCGTCCATACTGGCTTCACTTAAAGGAAGCCTTGATAACCCATCAGCATTTGCAATATCCTTACCCTTTTTGTGCTTTATTGTATACTGATATGCGGAAAGAATTAACGCATATCTTTGAAGTCTTGAATGAGCAAGTGTTGGTATCCCTGATTTTGGACCTAAAATTGATTTAAGAGATTCATGATCTGAAATTAATGTGAACTTTCTTCCATAAATAAACTTATGGAATTTTTTTACAGCAAATATGATTGCCAGTGCTTCTTTTTGAACTTGGGCATAGTTTTGTTGATGTTTGTTTAGTGTACATGAAACAAATAGAACTGGCCTCTCTACATCATTTACTATTATGCTTAATACTGCTCCCAATCCATACTGAGACGAATCACATGTGACAACCAACTCATTTGTTGGATCATAAATAGCTAAAGCCTTGCTATTCAGTAAAAGTGTCTTACTTTTTTCAAAAGCCCTTTGTTGTTCTTCACCCCATTCAAATTTTTGATTTTTCTGTAACAATTTATATAAGGAATATAGTTCTGTAGATAACATGGGTATAAATTTAGAATAATAATTTAGCAATCCCAAATAAGCTCTTAATTCAGTTAAATTTTTGGGCGCAGGAGCTTTCTGAATAGCTTCTATTTTCTTTTGCATTGATTTAACACCTTCTTTATCTAATACATGTCCCAAGTATTCGACAGACTCACGAAAGAAGCATGATTTATTTTGATTAATTCTAATATTATATTTATTCAGTCTTTCAAAAACTTTTAGCATATTATTCTTACAATCAGTAACATCTTCCCCAGCAATAATGACATCATCCAGGTAAACACCTGTCATATCTATACCAGACAAAACTTGTTCCATCAACATCTGAAAAATTGCTGGAGCGCTAGACACACTGTACGGTAATCGTGTAAATTTATATAACCCACAGTGCGTATTTATTGTTAACAAATTTTTAGAAGTTTCATTGACTTTTAACTGCAAATAGGCATTTGACAAATCTAAAATTGTAAAAACTTTACCTCCGACTAATTTATGAAAAATATCTTGCAGGTTTGGGAGGGGGTAATGATCCTGTTTCAAAATAGAATTCAAGGTTTTTTTAAAATCTCCACATATCCTAATTCCTCCATTGCTCTTTTTTACTATGACTATTGGACTTGCTATTTCTGCTTGTGTGGTTCGTACTAAGATACCTGACTTTTCCATTTGACTAAGTTCCTTACTTACTTGTTCTCGAAGAGCATAAGGTACATCATATGCTTTGTGAAATATCATTTGAGCATCTTCTTTAATAACTAAATTGGCTTGACACCCTTCTATGGCTTGACTATTGTCCTGACTAAAAACTTTTGGGAAGAGTGCCCTAAAATGTTCCAACTCTGCAAACTTGACCGCATTTACCTCACCTTGACTATTATTTACCTTAAAAATTTCCCTCCAGTTCGGCTTTATTACATCAAGCCAAGACCTACCTAACAAGGGAGTAAATTTCTCCTTACTACCTACTATAAATAAAGATAACTTATAAACATTATTGTTTGATTTTACGTTAACATTAACCTTACCTATTACAGTCAATATACTTCCTGAAACAGTTTTTAACTTACTACTAGTTTTATTTACTGTCAAATACAAAAATTTTTCCTTAAATTCAATAAAAGACATAAGACTTACAGTAGCTCCACTATCAACTTCCATAGTTACTTCCTTATTTTCCACTTTAACGTTTATTAAGGCTGGAATAGACTTAATATTGTTGATTTCAATTATCTGGTTTGCTTCTCCCACTTCTGACTCGACATTACCTTCTTCTTGTACAATGCTATTAAATTCATATACATTTTCTTGTTGGTTTTCTTCTTCTTCTTCTTTTGTGAAGTTTACATTTCTATATCTACACACAGTAGATGTGTGACCCTGCTTCTGACAGACAAAACATTTCCATTCTTTAGCAGGACAGATATCTGCATTGTGAAATCTAGAACATCTCCAACAATTTCTATACCTGCTTCTAGACTGACTTGAAGGATTATTTGGGTGACTTCCATTACTTTGACCATTTTTATTACTTTGGTGACTAACAATACTTGGACTAGATTTAGTATTTGTTTTTAATTTTTGTGGGTTAACTTTTTCATAGACTTTATGAACACTATCTGGTTCGTGCTGAATTTCTTTGCTTTCCAGGTATATGATTTCTTGGGCAAGTGCAATGTTACAAGCTTTAACAAATGTGAGATCTTTTTCTGACAAAAGCCGATCTTGAATTCTTTTTTCAGATATTCCACAGACAAATTTATCTCTTAACGCCCTGTCAAGATAATCATTGACCATTTCAAATTCGCATAAAGATGCTTGTTCTTTTAGATTTGCAATATACTGAGCAATAGTACTGGTACCTTGGTTTAATTTGTAAAACTTGTAACTTTCATATATGACAGACTTTTTTGGTGCCATTCTATCTTCTAGTAGTTTCTTTAATTCTGCATAACTCTTAGAAGACACTGTTGCTGGCTTTGTTAAGTTTTTCAACATTTTATATGCCTCACCTCCAATTAAGGTTACAAAAAGATCCACTTTTTCTTCATCTTCCACCTTATTACACTTGAAAAGGTGATCCATTCTTTCTAGATATGTCTCAATCTCTGTTTTGTCTATTTGGATGGCTTCTATATTCCCAATTAAAGCCTTTTTTTTTCTTTGTTCTACTGGAGCAACGTACCTACTTTCAGACTTCTCGACTTTTATTAGCTTTCATTGACTTCTTATACTTATACTTTTGACCTCTTGTGGACCCGTTTTATCCTCGTCGCCAATTAATATGTCCGTACTTGAGAATAGTGGATTTATTTAAGACTTTTTAAATAAAAACATGTTTGGATGTAATCCTTTATTTCTGACCTTTTTCCACAATGACATTTTATCTTTTATCTATCCCTTAACAGAGATATGTAAGAGAGATATGTAACTCTCTTACATATCTCTGTCCCTTAACGATACCTAACCTCTAAGCGTGTTCCGTAGCAAACTAAAGGAAGTAAAGGTGGCTGTGAAAGAATACAATATGTTCGGAACACAATTACACAATACATCACAGTCATGTTCACTTTAACCGTACTGTGGTACTTCTAAACTGAAGGCAAAAGTGCTGGTGTATGCCGGCGTGGAGCGTACGGCTTTACCTTACAGCAATTGCGCATTCTTCCTTCTTGGTGAGTGGGCGCCTTTAGTGTAATATCGTTTATAGCAACCTGTTCATTATAACCGATAGAACTGCTTACAGAGAACACTGGCTACAACGTACAAAAAGCACCAGTCCCCTGAAGTTCGTTATAAACGATTTTGACTGTAATAAATAACCCCACTTCCCATCTAAATGTCAAAGAACACAGTGTATGTTTGGTTGCCTATGCACAAGGCTCACTTAAATATATTTATTTATAGAATAGAATAAAATAAAAAACTTTTAAAATTTAATCCTATGCTAAATTTTCAAAAATACCCTCATATAATTATTTTTTAATAATATTCGCTAATATATAACTTATAAATTATTTCTTTAACCACTATTTAAGTAAGTTTATTAATTAAATATCATAATATTACTATGCTAATTTCTTGTATATCTAATTATTGGCGTCTAGCGAATATAGCGTCTATATTCTTTGGATATACTGTGCCACAATACCTCAATTGTCATTTTAAAAAACATGAAACTCGCCAGTTTTTAAATTGCGAACCACCCACCAACCAATCACGCGAAAGTTAGGCCGTGAATTATAGTGTAGTCTCTACCACATAGAGGTAGGTTGTAGGTTCTATTCACTAACAATTTTTAACAATAAATGTCACCCTCGCCGTATTATGATGAGTACTTTAATAATTATTGTATTAAGAAGATGTAGAATACTTCCGTTCTGAAATTTGTGCAGATTCCTTTATCAAATAGGTGCTGACCTCTCGTAATGAAACGGTACACGTAATAGCCCAGACGTGTATCTACTACAGTAAAAATGCAATAGGTTGTAGTAATCGTACTTTACAAAATATTTGTGGTAGTACCACTAATAAATGGTAGTACCTTAAGTTAAGTGTAAACTGTGACAATAACAAAAGAAAACATGCCATAAGGATCATTTATTACTGAGTTACAATGAAATAATGAAGAACTATTTATGCTGAACCATCTGTATTGAAGACATTTTAGGTTAAGGTATGTCGACGACCTTTCACAATTATTACATTTGCCAATCTAGGTAGTATATGTGTATATTGTATATATATATATATATATATATATATATATATATATATATATATATATATATATATATATATATATATATTTAGACCTATATAATTTAAGGTGTGGACACCTTTTAATTACACTGAATAGTATGAAATTTCTCACAAAATATACAAAGAAAACATGTAGGTACAGCACAAAGTCGTATGACCTGTTTTACCTTAACTATTGTTCGATTCGATCAGATATATCAACTTTTAGATGTTCATATTTAGTCAAATGTGAAATAAGCATTCTAAAAATCATTTTATTTAATAGGTATATTTTTCAACATATTTCTTGTGCGTAAATTTATAACATTTTATTTAAAAAGAGATGAAGAACTCACTTAAAATCTTTTAATATGAATATTATTATTAGTGGTAATAAATTGTATTTTATATTATATATTATTAAAACTAGTCTAAAACCAAATACTAATTCTGTTGCACTGTGATTACACTTAAAAAAAAAACATAAAAAGTAAAGAGTACGCAATAGTGACAATTTCTTCAACTACTCCCATAAGTTCTGTGCTCTGTTTTTATCCAAATCACGTACATTAGGTCTTGAGATTTTATTGTTTTCAGTAGGTATTCCTTATGTTATAGCTCTAAAACGTCATTGTTGTTCTGGAGATATAAACTGTATAATGCAATTTTATTTCACACGTTGTGCTGCATAATACTGCCCTCCTAAGGAAAACCACAGCATCTGCAGTACTTATAATAATGAGTAAATGGACTTCAAAGAATCTGCAACTTTAAAAATGGACTAAAATTGTTACAACAATGCGATTAGAAATAATTTTACTTTATATCGATAACATTGTAAAACTATGTTTTTTAAAAAAAAAGCAGTAGTAATAAGTTTTTCAATAATTTATTGAACCTACATATTTAATAAAAAAAATCACATTTATTAGACCAGTTAAACCTTAACCACAGTATAAAGAGGTTCCTCTTTATACTGTGCGTTAACAAACAAAATTTAATAAAAATAATAAAAAATAAATATAAAAAGATATTATCTTATTAATCCTTTTCTCCCTCAAGGTTTTTCCAAAATTGTAATCTATTTAAAGGTATTATGGTTTTGAGATTTTTAATAAGGGTTTCTTTTTATTTTTTGATACTCCACATGGATATGTAAATGTCGGAGGGCTGGGGAGTTTTTTATTTAAACTTTTTTTTGAAGAATATTCATCTCAAACATATTATCGGAGTTATTTGTTAATTTGTACTTTAGAGAAAATGATCCCCTATAGGCACCAATTTTTGTTATTTTCGCCAAGTAAAAAAAGGACGAAGTCTAAGACGGAACGAAGTAAAAAAAAAGAAAAAAGTATAAGGACGAAGCTCTATTTTTTTAATTTTTGCTAAAGACGCGAAATCTTGCCACTTAAAAAATCTGTATACTTACTGCTTTGTTCTTATTGTAACCTTTTTTTAATTTTCATTTCCAACAGCTGTCACAAAATGGTTAAACTCGAAGGTTTTTTTTTGTTTTTTTTTTAAAGATAGTTCCACCTGATGGTGAAAGCTATCAGCGGACATGAAGATGTGTCCTGCGTCGAAATACTTAATACAAATATCTTGAGCAGATATAGCGTCAGAATTTTCAATATATACAAGGAAAGATAAAAAACTCCAATTTTTATTTTGACTTAAGCAGTTATCAACCCAAAGGACAAAATTTTCAATATTCCTGTAATGTAAAAAGAAAGTATTATATGAGCTAATTATTTCTTCTTTCCCCGTCCAGCAATTCCGTCATGCTATAGGCACCCAAAAGTTTTTTGTTTTTTTCCTTTACTCAGGGGTACAAAGGTTTCATTGAACGTCAATATTCTTTAGGTAAATATTGCTTTCTTAAACATATCGATCCTTGTTAACATTATGACTGTTTGTAAGTCAGAGACTTTAAGGGACGTTGATGTATCTCGTTCATTTGTATCCAAACGGTATAATTCTCTTGAATCGTTGGCATGTTGAATGTCTTCTTTCCAGCTATCACATTTACTACATGCTGGATTTAAGTTCTCAGAATTATGCTCTTTATTGTGTAGTTGAAATGTTTCACGCTGTTCGCACTCTTCATGGCCCGGGTTTGTAAAAGATATATTTTTATTTTTAAGATGCTTTCGATAAATCTCATAGGAGCATTGATTATGAGGCTAGGTTGCTAAATAATCCTTGTGCGTTACCTGTATGGTTAAATCACTATGCATGTATCTACGATACGGAACGTGTTCACATCTGTAATGAGATATACTGGGATTAAAACTTTCTATATGCGTATCAACGTTTATTGTAGATATTTTGCTTTGAGAAGCCACTTTCCCATGTCCATCTTTTTTAGAGCAGATGGGAGTAGACGATTGAAACACATTTTGTTTGGCAAATGCTTGGATTGGCCAATCGTTTTTCTGGTGATAACCAAATGTTGCAAAAAAAAACATTTCCATACCAAAAATTTTTCTCCCGTCTTGTTTGTTAGAAAGTATTTGAACGTGTTTTTCCTTTGGGAAGATTCAGCTTCTGTTGTTCTTCTTTTGATGTCTTTTCGTGACAAGTAATTAAGGATAGATGTTTTTTCTCCATCCCATTTAGTTGCCAATACGTATTATTAATAGCACTTCGTCTTTCTTCTGATATTTTTTGTAAACATTTTAATGTACACTTTTGTATGTTGCAAGGTGGTTTTACTAAATACTTTTTTGCGTTTCTTTTTTCTTGCTTTCTTTTTTTTTAAACTATTCTCAATTTTTCGCAGTTTTCTTTCTTGTTTTTTTGTGTACCCTTTGGATAAGCCTAGAAAAGTTAAATGTTTACTTTGAATATGATGGTAATATGATTTCTAATATATAAAATAATTTATACTTTATTACCGTGCTTACAGACTTAACAACATACCTTCCCTATGTATGGACTCGACTTGTCTTCTATTAGAACATCCTATGTTTTGGATGTATTATTTAAAATTGAATTTACTTCTTGTGGTTCTAGACTAATATATGTTATTTCAATGTTATTGCTCGAATTTTTTTTTCGCCTTAATGATAAAACTCTGGTCTAATCTAAGAAATTTCTCATCATTACCATTTTTTAGAGATTCTAGATCATTTCTCGTATTCAAACCAATTGTTGCTTAAGATAACAGAACATCTTGAAATATTTGAACACATGGTTTCCTATCCTCTTTATTATAATCTTGCAGCTCTATTATATCTTCTGTAAAAATAGGATGCTCTTTAAGTGGATCATTACTGAAGTTTTTAAATTTATTAGTTATATATACATGCAGATTTTAAATACCATAATGGTGAATTAAAGTATCATGTTGTTTTACAAAAATAAGCATAAATTCAATGAATATGTCTAAACATCATTAATTTTTTAGCTTATGTACAACAAACTGGCAGGACGGCAGAATATAGGGAAGATCCTTGTACTGTAGGACACGTTTCTTTAATCCCACACAACTTGTGTTTGAATTAACTTGAAGTATTGATTTTTCATATTGCAATTCTTCAGAGTAATATTAATAAACGGTCTCATACATAGAATTACTAAAAAATAACTTTTTGGGTATATCAAAAATGAGAGCTGAGTTCGTTAAGGTACAATCAAGTCTTGTACTTTGGAACAGTGAAGTTTGTACCTTGGTACGAAATATGTTTATCCAAAAACTTTATATTTTTTACTTTGTTTTAGAATAAAGGAGTGATAATTACAAAATTAAAAATATGTTTGATAAATATTAGTGATAATACTGATAATATACTCTCGCAGATACGATATAGTAATATTATAGTTTTAGGAACACTCAATAATCTTCGGAACACATCTTTAGTTTCAGTCGTTTTTGAACTTTCTGACAAAACTTTCATAGCTAGTGCAATCTTCATAAACCCAAAAGCGACAATTTATAGATTGAATCCGTCTTCTTTCCTTATTGTAGTGTAATAATTTTTGCCGCATATTACACAATTATATTCCTCTTGTATATCGGCATATGTATTGTCATCGCTCTCTAACGTTAGATTAATGTCTTGCTTAGAACTAGTCTTGTAATTTTTTTCTTACAAAATCGCATTTTGCTTCATCATCATCAATCTGTATGTGTCCACTGCTGGACCTAGGTCTCCCTCAGCTCTTTCCATCTGTCCTGTCTTGCATCCAGTTATTGCTAACACGCGTCAGGTCGTCAGTCCATCTAGTTGGTAGGTCCTCTGCTCCTTATTGCTTTTTGTCTTAGTGTAAACTCGACAATGAGTTTTGTCCATCGGTTGTCTGATAATCTGATGTGTCCTGCCCAATTCCATTTTAGCGTCGTGTCCTGCTCAATTCCATTTTAGCGACGCGATTTTTTCGATGACGTCTGTTGTTTTTGTTCTACGACGTATTTCTTCGTTTGGGATTCGGTCTCTCAGAGAAACACCCAACATCTGACGCTCCATAGCCCTTTGAGTCACGCAAATCTTAGTCATTACCTTTTTTGTAAGTGTTAATGTTTCCGCTTCATAAGTGAGTACAGGTAACACACATTGGTCAAAGATTTTCTTTTTAAGGCATATGGGTAGATCCGATTTAAATACATAGTTTAATTTATCAAACGCTGCCCAGGCTAATCCTGTGTGACGTGGGAGGTCACATATCTGGTTATCTCTGCCCAATCGAATTTCATGTCTTAAGTACTTATACGATGTAGTCTGTACAATATCCCTTCCATCAACAGCAATATTTCGATTTAGCACTAGATTAGTCATTATTTGCTTCTTGTTCATATTAATCTTTAGTCCGACCTCCAAGGAAGCGTGATATAATTTTTCAAACATTATTATTACATCATATTCATGATTGGCTATACGGACTATGTCACCTGCAAATCTCAATTGACTGAGCTTCTTCCATTTATGTTGATAC